TTTAACACCCCGCCTTCGAAACTAGGGAATGACTTTCCTAAGTCAGAGCTCGTTTCGAAACTCTTTCCTTGCCAAAACGAACTGCAAAACAAGTTCCTTTGTCAACTGCGCAGACATGCGACTGTCCACTTGCGTTCCTCTCCAAGGTCGCTATTACTCTTCACTTCCTCATCCATGCTCGCCCAGTACGCTTTGTCCTCTTCGTCTCGGGGCTGGAAGGGCTGGTGTGGTCGGCTTCCTTTTCCTGCTTTCTCATAGGCTTCCTTGCCTTTTCCTTTCTGGTGCTTGTATTTGTAATCGTAGTTCCACCAAATCTTCTCTCCTGTTTTGTGGCTTTGCCTGTAGATGTGGCCTCCTTCGGTGTAGTACTTGTATTCCTGGCTCTTGTCCACAGGCGGCTTGAAACCTTTTTCCTGTTCCTTTCTCTTTGCTTCCTTCTGGGCAATGTCTGCCCTTGCCTTTGCCAAGAGTTTCTTCCTTTCCTCTTCGTACTCTTCCTGTGTCTCTTTACTCCTTGGCTTTCCTTCTTCTTCTTCCTCCTTTGGCTCCTTTGGTCCTGTTGCTTCTGTTGCCTCTGGTTCCTCTGTCCACGCTTCTCCTGCTTCTTCCTCTGAGATCTCGTAGGACTGCGTGTAGTACTCGTCCTCGTTTTCCTCCATTGCTTCCTTGGCTTCCTCTTCTTCCTGCTTCCTGTCGAAGTAGGCGCGGTCGTTGTACTGGCTGATGTCTTCTTCTTCTTTCCTTGTAGGTGACGTGGAAGTCCTTGGAAAAAGCTGGCCTTCCATCCTCAGTTCCTTCTCAAGAAGACGGTCACGGTCCTGTCTGAGTTCTTCCTTTAGCTTTTCCTGCTCGTCAAAGTACTTCGCGTACTCTTCTCTTGCCTTTTCTTCCTCTTCTATGAACTCATCCCATCTTCCTTGAAGTTCCTTGAAGTTGGCCTGGAGGTCCCTAACCTCCTTGGTTAGTTCCTTTATCGCCAATGCTGTCAGCTGGCTTTGCTGAAGCACCGGTTCCTTCATTCCTGCTATGTCTTGCTTCAGTTCCTGCATACACTCGTTCTGATTCGCCATGATCTCCTTAAGTTCCTTCACGGCTTGTGCCATCTCTCTTACTTCTTCACTTTCCTTTCCACTTTCTTCTTCTGGTCCTTCTGCGTTCCCTTCCGGGATATGGCTCGCACAGAGTTTCTGTACAACGTGGCCTAGTTCCTTGAAGTAGGAGAACATCTGCGGATGCACAAACTGTTCCTGCACACACGCTTCACAGACTGTTCCTACTCCTAATGCACATGCACTCGTGTCAGCTCTCATGCGGTCCTGTCCTAATGCAACTGCACTCGTGTCAGCGCACATGCGGTCCTGAAACATGACTGTTCCTAGACTTGACTGCACTGTTCCTGAACCTTTTCCTGAAACCAAGCCTTCCGAAATTCCTGAAATAGCCGAAAACAGTAAAGCTGCAAAAGCGAAGTTCCCTTTGGACTTAATCATCCTGATGCTGGCTCGGGCTTGTTCCTGGCTTCGATGTTCCTGGAGTTCTTCTCTACCTACAGGGTCATTGTTCTCATCTTGGAATCCTAACCAATGCAAAAGAAGCTTGATCCGTTTCGCTGATAAGGGTTTTGTTCCTATGTCGGCAGTGTTCTCTTTGGTTCCCACAGGGTGAACGCTCAAAGTTCCTTGTTTGTGAAGTTCCTGCAAGAAAAGGGTCCTGATCTGCAAATGCTTCACTCTTCCTACACCTTGTCTGGTAATGATTCCTCTAGCTGCTGATGAATCCAGATACAAGTTCACCTTGCACCTTCTTCCTGTCAAGAACTCAACTGCTTCCTTCAACAAAATACTATCAGATGCTGCTGATGCTCCTGCATAGTACTCTGCTTCACCTGAACTCAGGGTCTGGCTCCTAGAAAATGTGTAGATTACCTGTCCATCAAGAAACACGGTTCCTGAAGATGTAGATTTCCTGGTAACTTTGCTACCTGCCCAATCGCTGTCACTGAAAACTTCCAACAAATGTTCCTGCTTCTCTGCAATTGCGCTGAAGTCAAATGAACCGTTCCTGATGCTTTCGTGGAGGTTCGAAATACCTCTCGGTGTCTTCCTGTACACAAGATGATATCCTTCGGTCCTAGACATGTACTGCACTAGGTGAATAAGCTGTTTCCAGGCTTGATGTGTAGGTCCTGACATCTTGGATGCAAGTCCTCGTACTGCAAACTGAAGGTCAGGTCTGTCCTGTCCTACATACAGACGAATTCCTACACACTTCCTGAATGATGCTGCTTGTTCCTGATCTAGGCTGTTGGTGTTGTCCACCTGTTGAGATTCCTGGGTACACGGAGTTGGCTTTGAGGCTTTCGTCTTGAGTTTCAACTCTTCCTTGAGCTTGGCTAGATACTTCGGGTCACTCGTGATGTGAAGTTCATGATTGTGAAACGAAAATTTCCTTTTGAGGAATCTGATACTCTGATGAGACTCTCCTACTATACGTTCCTGGTCAGTAAGAAAGGGGCCTTCAACCTTGAGTTCATAAGTAGTTCCTATCTTGTTCAAGACTGGTTCCAGATGACTACTCTTTCCTGCTGCTTGGTCATCGACATGAACTACCAAAATACTGTTCCTTGGTTCTCTGAAAAGTGTCGGACAAGCAACACTCCTGCTAAACTGTTGTTCCTGGAGGGTGTTCGCAAAGTGGTCACTCCACAGTAAAGCTGCATCTCTTTGTCCTGGTAACACTCTCAACAAAAGAAATCCTTCGTTCCTGCTCTCAGGATCTTCATCACCAAACAACTCAATATATTCCTTTGGAAACTCGCAAGCTGTCCTGTTCCTTTGAGGTACCTGAAGAAATGCGTCCTTCACATCTATGGAATACAGGGAATGTTCCTGTTGCAACCCGATCACGGGTATGAGCCTCACCAATGAGGCGCTGGTGGCCGGACTGAAAGTGTCCGTTCTCTGTTCCTGGGATTTAAATTCCCTGGCGACAAGTCGTGCTCGTCTGATCCATTTCCTGTCTCTACATCGCCAATCGAAGACGAATTTGGTTGTAAGCCACTTAGTTCCTGTTCCTTCATCGTCTGTGTTCTCTGTTCCTGTTCCATCTTGTTTATGAATCTCACTGAGGGCTATCCTTTGAACTGCCTGCATGGCAATGAGACGATCAATCTCTGTCACCATGGCTTTCCGATCCAAATCTCGAAGTTCCTGATCTGTAAGACTGGGAGGTCCAGAATCCTCGTTCCCAAAGATGTCATCTTCCTGATCAGATCCATAGTCTGAATCTGGCCAAAGTTCATTAGGTTCCAGGTCCGGTTCCGGCAACTCCTCATCGTTGTGCTCGTAAACCATTCCTATTGAGAAAGGTGGGTACCTTTTGGTCGGTGACTCAAGCTTTGGAATCTTGCTTCCTGTTCCTACTTCTTCAAACTCTGGTTTCCT